ACAGGGCAATTTTCAAATGTTCATATGAGAGTCCATTGGAGTTTCTTGACAAGGGCTTCCACAAGCATCCCTCTATTGGCTTCTTCATTTTTCTTTTGTCTTCCAAGGCTGGACTAGTTGGCTGGAAAGAGTGCCTGGAAAGAGTGGCTGGATATTCAGGTGAGGGTCCACTGACCCTGCTTGGCACTCTTTTAATGAATGAGCCAAAAGTAAGCAGTTAAAGAAAGAAATCATGGACTCACTCTCATTCCCAACAGCTGATAAAAAAAAAAAGCCTAGTAATAAACCAAACAAAAGATGTTAAATATATCTACACTGAAAACTTTAAATCTTTGAAAAAACAGAGATTGAGGAAGACACGAAGAGATGGAGAGACCTCCCATGCCTTGGATTGGTACAACTAATATTGTGAAAATTAGCATTCTACTAAAAGCAATTTATAGATTCAATCCCAAACAACATCACTATGACATGTTTCAAAGAAATAGCAAAAAAGAAAAAAAATACTAAAATTCATACGGAATTTGACAAAAGTTCTTGGATAGACAAAGCAATCCTGAGCAATGCTGGAGGGATTACCATACCAGATTTCAAAGTATATTGCAGGGCTCTAGTTATAAAACAACATGGAATGGTAGTACAAAAACAGACACCTAGATCAAAAGACCAAAATAACATACTCAAACATGAGTGCACAAAATTTCATGCCACCTAATATTTGGCTAAGTTTCTAAGAATACAGACTGGAGAAAAGACAGGCTCTCAAATAGTACTTGGAAAACTAGATCTACATGTGTAGAAGAATTAAATTAGACCATATATATCACCCTGCACAAAAATCATAATATTTTCAAAGAAAATTGAAAGTGTCAAATTTTATCTCCCCAGAAATTCCACAAGGGAGCTAGAGAGATGGCTCAATGATAAATTTGGTGGCTAATAACTGTTCATAACTCCAGTTCCATGGATCCACCATCTCCATCGGGCCTCCTCAACATTGCATGACATAGACATAGATGTATACTTACATAGATGCAGGGAAAATATTCATACACAGAAAAGAAAAATCAATGAATATTCTTTAAGTTTCATAGGTTCTGCAAAAGTTTGCAGAACTGATATGCTGAACATGTTTCATATTTCTATTTTTACCAAACAATATGCCAAATATATCTTTGTTTTTCCTCTTACAAATCACATTTTCTACCCTTTTACTTATTACACAGCTACATTTTTTCCTATCCATCATGAAGAAATCACTCCAACAAATTATGGCCACATTGAATTCCCATGAAAAACTGAATTTATTTTTCTACATGAAAAAAAGAATTATCATAAAATGTTATCTGTTCTAATACAATGAACATTTTTCCATTAAGAAGAAAATTCAATGTCTACTGTGTCTAGTGTAATGGTTAACATGTAAAGGCCACTAGAAGCACATAACTGAGTATAAAAATAAAACCAATCTGACAGAAATTGAGGTGCTCAAATTGTCTTGTATCTACAGTTACACGGTCAGTGCTGTATGATGACATAAATAGATGTATTACAGGATCGAGTAGATGGCCCTGAGAGAAAAGGCAGAAACAGAAGCTATATTATAAGAAAATAAGAGTGTAATATTATGGGGGAACAGGATTTATTTCATATGTGATACCAGCATAAGAAGATAACAATGAAAAAAACCAGTAATATATGTTTGTCTTTCACTATGTCTCCTACATATAAAATGAAAGATTAAATAGAAGAAAAAATGATAAAGAAAATTTAGGAATACACACAAATGTGATATGGGAAAGAATTTTAAAA